TATATATCTACACACACACACATATATTTCCCAAACATCCATTTGACTGTCAGCCTGATAAATGCCACTGTTAACGGGAGCGAGCCCTCCTGTGTCAGCTGTTTCACCTCTACTTCTACAAAACTTAGTGAGCATGCTTTATCCAGTTTTCTCCTCTGGGATTCTGAAAGATGCTGAATGCTGCAGAGCCCCTAATAAGCTTCTCATTTACTAATGCCGTCTCAGTTTCTAACTCCCTCTTCCTTTCCAGAAACGCGAAGGCCTCCTTCAGACCACTCATGTTACAGAGGAGCTGACAACCACGACAGAGTAAGCACAAAGCACTTTAGATTCAGAGTCTGTCTGTTGTGCACGATGTGAGACCATTTACAAAGACGAAAGAGAGATTTAATCTTCTCCCTGCCCCTGCCAAATTAGCAAAATCCCTTAATGTGGTGGTTTTTTTAACTATATAGAAATAACATGGTTTCTGGAAGCAGGATACAAAGAAGACAAGTATCTTCTTGACATTCTTGTGTTACAGAAGCTCTTAACTGAATAGTTCATTGAAAGTGACATTTGTGGGCCATTTTTTTTTCCTTGCCTTCTGGAGGTAGCCATGTATAACTAATTTCTGCCCAGTGCTGTTGCCTTTCTGAAGTGAAGGGACAATGTAGATATTTTGTGGAAGAATTAGTTTGACAAAAGGCAATTCTTTGAAATACCTCTCAAAACTCTTAAAGTTGTAGGGAGAGATGATCTCAGTTTTCAGTAGTGCCTCAGGACTCGAGCTCAGCAAAAATAATTAAATAAATAAACAAACCTCTTCCCTCTCCAGTTTTTGCGGTGGATTACTTTTCTTTATGTTTTTACAGTCTTTCTTATAAGGAGAAGGCTAGACGTGCACTTCATCTGCAAATAAAAGCTGAGATTTTTTCTTTGTGTGGCCTGAAGGCAACTCTTCTAAGAGGGGCTTACACGAGCCCTCCTTCAGTTTATCAGTGTGTTGGCTCCCTGTAGAGTTGGCTCAGGAGAAGGATAGACGTGCACTTCGGCTGCAAATAAAAGCTGAGATTTTTTTCTTTGTGTGGCCTGAAGGCAACTCTTCTAAGAGGGGCTTACACGAGCCCTCCTTCAGTTTATCAGTGTGTTGGCTCCCTGTAGAGTTGGCTCAGCTTCCCATGACTTTGAAGATAAATGAAGTACCATGTGGCTAGCTCAGTGGGAAAGATCTTTCCGATGGCAACGCTCAAAAATGAGATCATAATGTCTCCGTGTGGACATTAAAGATCTCATAGTGTTTTTTGTAGGATCAGAGCTCTGCCTCAGGTTTGTGGGCCAAAATTCCTCCCCTCACTCTTATGCTCTTGAACAGTGTAGTTAACTTGTCCTCTCCTTCAGATATGGTTTGTTAGATGTAATCTGTGGAGTGGGGTTTAGACACTTTTTAGCAAGAAAAATGTTTACAGATTTGTGTGTGTGTTTATACATGTATTTTATTAAGTTACTTAATATTACACAATATTGAGAGGTTTACTGTTTAATGTGTTGCATACCCAGATGTAAGCATAGCCATGGAAAATGCAATAATCAGCAGAATCCAGCATTCATTGAATACTTTTGAATTCCTCTGTGCAAATCAGGGCCTGATTCTCAGCTGATAAACATCTGGATATGTCTGGTGATGTCACTGGCTGTGTATATAATTCACATGTGGCAGTTTTATTTACATAACATCCAGATTTCATATATGTTTTTTTCTTCAGCGAGAACAGATTTAAGTGAGGTAGATAGCTGTGCTCCTTCAGAGCTGTGTGGTGTAGCATCTGATGACTACATTTGTGGAAACTACCCAGAAGTACATTTGTTCATTTACTCTTCATCATAAAAATAGTTTGCATAAGAAATAATTATGTGTAAAACATATTTATGCATATCCATTCATTTCAAATGTATCTCCCTGACATCACTGATAGTCTGTTGGGGACATTCCTGCAGCACGTTTGGTCTGGTCTGCAACATGCTGAGCCTCCTGACTTGGTAGGAGTGGTTAGCCCTCAGCATCTTGCAGGAAAAGGCCCATTAAGTCCATGGTCTTGTCTTTTCAAAGTAATTATTCATGAACTAACCCAATATTTTTGAATGCTCTGACTTGCAGGATGATGATGGGAAGATTTGGTAAGTAACAAAGTTGACTCTGATTTTTTTTTAAATTTATGTCAGGCACAGAAATCTTGTCTGTTTTCCTTCAGCAGATCAAGACAATGGATTGAGCAATTCTTTGGGGTTGGAATGTATTGTGGGGGCAGGTTTTGTTACTCCATGCAGATATGGAACATAATGGGTAGAACCAGACCATCCGGTAACTGCTTGTGCTGTTTAGACTGGTCTCTGTTGATTTGTTTTCATTTGTAAGTAATGAATAGCAAAAATGCTGCCCAGGGGAATTTTTCCTAGTACTGTTGTTAGTGGCTTTCAAGTAAAACTCTTTACAACCCCCAACAATAAGAGTTACAACTTTTTCATAACGTGACCATTGAATTTGTATATAAATTAATGTATGAAAATTACTGAAGCAAAGGTGTATGGTAGCAGGTCTAAGAAAGCTCTGTTTATCTGTCCACTTTCAACAACCAGCCAGCCCTCTCTAATTCCTTTGCATGGAGTGTCTTATCTCCTCCATGTTCACTAGATTTTAGAGTTTAGACCTTACGAACTGTAGATCTGGTCTTCTAAACAAAAACTAATTTTTTGGTGTTGCTGCCGAGAGACTTCTCTTTTTGCATTTAGTTTTGTTGGTGGCATTAAGTCACCACTTCTCACCGAAGAGATGTGGGCTCCTGTAAAAGACTGCATGTAATGAAGAACAAGTCATTTAGTTTCTCTGTTCCCCAGTTATAATATGCAAACACTACCTTTTTCCCTCTTGCAGAGTATCTACATTAATAATTAATAATGTACTCACAAAATAAGTAATGTCAGGGGGCTATAGGAGCTAAATAACACATCTTCAGATACCAAATGAATTTGGATAATAAATATGTTTGGTTTTTAACAATAAAAAATTATTAAAATGTATTCTGTAAATAAAAATAATTTTAATTTGAAAAACCTGTTAAAAACTATGTTGAAAATTCTAACAGCCTAAAACCTTCACACTTTCCCAGTGTTTTTTATCCTTTTTTTTTTCTTTTTTAAATGCAACTGCAATCGGTTAGATTTCTAATTTTTTCCTGTTTTACCTGATGATGACAGTTGTAATCAAAAAAACTCAATGTTTGGAAAATTTCAGTCAGCCCAAAGCTGCCAGAGTGTGAAATGTTGCACTAATATAGTCAGTTGAGTAGATTTTAGATTGGATTAAATATTGGTATAGAAAGCTTTGAAGGTCTAAACATAATTTAAATCTTCATACTGTATGTAAGCTTTGCTCTTCATATGCTGGTGAATCAGATTGCAGTTGTGTTCAGTTTTAAGCTTTACTGAAGTCAGGAGTACTACCAGTAATTTTAAATTAACTAAATGAATACCCAATTTTGACACTGAGCAGTGGATGCAACCATAGCTATCTCTGTAGCTGTGGTGCACCAAAACCAGGTGATAATTTCAGTGGCTCGTTGTTTAAGTTAGGATTGGGGCATAGTCAAAACTTGTGTTTCATTTTAATTTTTCTTCCATCTATGTGTTTTGTGTACCGATTACGAATGGCAGAAAAGGGAAATCAGTGAATGATATGTTTATTTTCAGTTGCCTCTAAAATCCCTGGGAGAGTTTGCTCTGGCAGTTAAATTAAATACCAAAATACATTTAGTTACATACCAAAATAAGGTGATAACTTTTAGCTTGAGTCTCTGTTACATGGCTTTCTGAGAAACACCTTTAAACTGGGGACACATAACTTGCTTCCCATACTTTGCTGTTGGAGGTATATTGATTTTTTTTTTTTCCCCTAAAACCAGAGCGTGATGCCTTTGACACACTTTTTGATCATGCACCAGACAAACTCAGCGTAGTCAAAAAGGTAAAAAACAAAATCCAAGTTTTATTTTCTATGTTGCTTTTTTTCCTATGCTTGTGGAAAAATATCCAGAAAGATCTGGAAAACAGCAGAAGTGGACTCTGAAAAAGTGAAAAGGGCGTTTATCTCCCAAAGATCAGTGCTTCAAGGGCAGTTGATACCTGGATTCATTGGCTTTGATCGGGCTTGTCTCATTACTCTGGTTTATTGGCCAACGTAGTGCTGCTAGATTCCATCAAAATGATACAGGTTAGTAGAAACTACTCTGCAAAGTATTCACAGTGGTACAGATAATCCTGACTGGACAATCATACACACTATTATATCCCACGTGATGTCCTCCAGCGAGGAGGGGCTGGGCTGTAGGCTAATGAGCGGCTGGCGGTGGTGACTCCTTCACTAGCCTCAATGGCAGGTAGAGTCACGCGTTTGTCCTCAACCTCAGTTTCCTTAAGAAGCACTGGCTGTTCGGTTTTCAGCTCATTCTTGTACTAAAGATGATCTTCCACAACTTGAAGATGTTTTCCACAGTACCCTGAAATGTGATTCACCCATAAATAAGTTTGCTAAATATAAAGCTTTTACAGAAGAGTTGCTTTGGTCCTGAGGCTCTTCTACACAACGTTAATTGATGTGGTCCTCTGGTCTCTCCTCCAAGGCTGAGCATCATCACAAAACACGCCTATCCAGCCATATTCTTGACATGGCTTTTTGTGCTAGGCAGAGCAGAGGGGTAAAGTAGCCATTGATCTCTGCCAGCTCTTGTTAGTTTTAGGGAACACATAAGGAAGAGACCCCACATTGTTCCATCAGCTAGTTCCAGCATGGCTGTTAAGCTGTTCATCAGAGCAATAATCTGCAAAGATCAGTGTTGCAATTTGTCCCTTTGCTTCGTATGAAACAGAGGAAGTATGCATTTAAAATAATGCTTTGAAATCTCTGCAAGATTTTATCTTTCCAGTCTGAAATGTCTTCTGGATAGTGTTTTTAAAGTTGATAAGGGAATTAAGTTGACTCTATCTACACAAAGCGTTAACACCCAACTCTGTGTGTCCCTTTTGGAAGTGTGGAAGTGTTGTAAGCAGGCTGGCAGATCTCTGTGCATCAGTACGTTAGTAGCAGGATCTTGCATGTCTGCTTCTTGCAGGAATAGAAATGCCAGGCTTGTGTTACATCCTGACTGTAATTTGCTAATTGATACACACAGATCACTCCAGGAGCAGAGGTGTGTGCAGAGCTGTACTGTTAGCATCTTCTCTGGGGAGTGTTATCTCAGTGCTGCTAGTGCCTTGCTCCCAAGCAGAGGCTCTTCTCCAAGAACATGAAGAGATTAGTGTGGACAGTAATTGCACATACTGCTTACTTCATCTTCACAAAGAACCCACAAAAGAACCAATGTCATCACAGCTTTTTCTCATGACACTGATTTATGTAGTAGAAAAGATAACTAGTAAGCAGTATGTAATAGCACCATCTGGTGACTTCTGGTATATGGTGCAACAGAAATGACTATATGAGTTTTCAGTTTTATGTACTTGTTTATGCAAAAGCAAATAGCACACGTGCATATTTATTAAGCTTAAACATATTTTAAAATACTATATTAACCCTTTCACATAGGCACTGACTGCAGTTTCTAACATCACTGGTTCTGGTGTTTTCTTTTACAGTCTCTGATCACCTTTGTGAACAAACACTTGAATAAACTGAATTTGGAAGTAACAGAGTTAGAAACCCAGGTAGGAGCCTTTGTCTTTTTGTATGTAATTTAACCGTGTAGATTGCAAATCTAGACCCTTGCTCCATAAAACCTTGTTATGGAACTGTTTATCTTTGGGCGTGTTAATTTATGGGATTGGGGCTCTGTCTTTTAAGTAGCAATGACATTCACTGATGCTTTACTCCTGTTTACATGTATTTCATATTGCTGTTGTTTTGTATTATAACGTGAAATTGTTGGATATTTAATAATGGTCATATTAATGACTGTAGAACGTGGCTGGGTTTCAGGGCAGCTTGTATCTCGGATCAAAGTGGAGTGCTGCAAAGCAGTTGCTATAGTTATGGGTGGATGGTGGGTTGTCTCTTTTCTAGCTGTGAGGTTTCATGGTGAACTGGTATGAGCTCTTAATAGCTGGCTGCCTGGGGCTCTCAGGAGGAGTGTGGACTGCAATGTGCAGTTCATCATAGAGATATCAGTGCTAGCTTTGATCACGTCAAAGTGGGACTGGAAACAATTTTGCTTTTGCAGCAAAGGCCTCCATATCCTCCCCTTTACCCTGCTGTCTCATGAGCACATGCACCATGCTTGCTTCTCAGCAGCGTGGATTAGCAACTCAGAGATCCTGTACTGCAGTGGCTTGACTGCCAGTGGTATCCAGGTTAGTTTGTTTAAAGCTACTGGAGGTGGCTATCAACCACCACCGTCTGCTCTGAGCTGTTCTCAGTCTCTAGTGCAGAACTGGCTACCGAATGTGCTTGGAAACCTTAAATAAATGTGAATTTCAGTTTCAATGGGGTAATTCTCACTTTGCAGGTCAAATTAAGCAATTTTCGGGCATGGTCTCGGCTATGTTTTACAAGCAGAAACAAATATTCTTTCCAGAGTTCACTGAACTGTGGAGAGATGGTTATCTTACTTTCCTGGTGAAAAAAGAAGCATGGCATCTAGAGAATTATACCAGGATATGGGTAATTGGTTTGAGCCTGGCTTAGTTTAATACCAGTCATTCACTGCTATTTCATAGCTTTGCTGAAATGAATGGGTGACTGGATCTGATCTGTCACAAGAAATTGTTGCTTGATGCCTTGGAAGTACCCAACAATTTATTTTTGAAAAGGTTAGAGGACGTCACATACACCGTATCAACAATCTGTTTTGATTTGGGAAAAAAAAATATTTTGTGAAGTTAAACTTCCTACCTGTGTCAGGGGAAACTTAATTTCAAGTTCTGAATAGGGGTAGAGATTTGAATGTCCAACACACATGACTTAAGAGGGGTTGTGATTGAAATGACTGGGTACTGTAGTAGCAGGACTGCGAGTATATAATGTGCAAACATGTTTCCCAGGAAGTCTTTTTTTTTTTTTTTCCCCCCCAATCAAGAAAGCTTTGTTAAATACTATAGTGAAGTTTGCAAGATTCCTCAAGCAAATAAAATGAGTGTAAGGAAAAGCCAGAACAGATAGTATATACCCTAACCTCACCCCAAAGTATTCCGTAGCTTAATAAATAGGTAACTGTCTGGAGATAAAGAAGACCTTGTTTTCAGTCCCTGCCTATTCAGACCAAATACTCTGCACAGTTAAGGAGTACAAATTGTAGATGACTCCTAAGTTAATTGCTTTTAATGTCTTCTGCTTAGAGCTACTTACTGTATGTAAGTAATTTAAATGGTCATTGGCACATGGTCTTGCATGGGTTAATGCTATAGCAATAGCTGATGGGCTTCCTTGTTTTGCTCAGGAAATGAGAGTGGGGGAAATAATGCTACCAGATGTAGGGAGAAAGCCTTGTATCCTGTGGGGTTTTTTTTCTTTTCTGTAGAGAACTGGCAAGAAAGCAGCTATATCAACAAGCTCTTACGAACGGACTGATTTAGCTTGCTCCACTGCATTGTGGTGATTGCAAGGGTATAGGTGAATCCAGAGTGCAGATGAAACAAAGCCCTGAATGCTTGTTACACTTGCTGTCAATTCCTTGCTAAGCCTGAAAGGAGCAGTCTGTGACTCCTGAACCATCTTAAATTTCTGTGCTAGCAAACAACAGTGGTAGAAATCAAAGTACATAATTTGGGCCAAGTATTCTTTGTTGTGCTTGCTTATGAATGCTTATTTGAACATACATGCTTTCACCTAGAAATGTAATCAGTATTTCTATTTAGTTTGCAGATGGTGTTTACTTGGTTTTGCTCATGGGTCTCCTTGAAGACTATTTTGTTCCACTTCACAACTTCTACTTAACACCTGAAAGTTTTGATCAAAAGGTGGGTAGAAATTCCAGGTTATATTTTTGCTTTGTTACTGCATGATATTTTCTAATCATTGTGTCCTTTCTCTTTGTGCCCAGTAAGTCAGAACGTGGTACATTCTTCTATTCAGGAGCTGTAGCAAAGATGCGCTGGCTGTGACGCTAGATAGCTAATACCACTAAAAATTCCTTGTGAGATGGATGGGTAAATTCCCCATAGTTAAACAAAAAGAGTATTCTGTTATTAGCATCAAATGACACATAAAGCTCATGAATATCCAGAATGAATAAATCAGTAATAAGTGCTTTGTACTGTATAGTACTTTGCATAATCAAAGTGATCTATTAAATTGTAGTACTGCCTGAAGTGTTTTTGTGCATGGGGATGCCTTATTGTGCTAGACAGGAGAGCTGATGCCTGGCCTTGCCTGGTATGTACTATGTAAAAACAGACAAGAAAGACAAAAGGTGAGAGATGGGAACCTCTGTCTGCATCCTATGTACTGGGATTGACATGGACATAGAGCTTCTTCCCAAAGTCACAGAATGTCATCCCTTAAAGCTGCCCCCTCATCTCATTAGTATCAGTTGCCTAATACCCATTGGTTATTTTTCTGTAGTCTATTTAATATTCCTATGAACCAAGCGTATAGATGTCATTGCCTGATATGTAAATGAGATACTGTAGTAGAAGAGGTGGTACCTGGGCCATGGTCTTTGGTTGATCTGGGGCTAGAAACTGTATGTTGAGTGCTCACAGGTAGCATGTTTTGCAGCTGATCCAAAGCCAAGATGTACGCCCTGATCCTGCCAGGGAGGGAGCATGCAAAAAATTACCTCTCTGGAGTCAATTTGTGGGCACAAACATCTGGTTCTGTGTCCAGTTCCTGGCAGGATCATTACCAACATTGCTGACTTTAACTTTGGAGAGAGTGTGCTACATTGTCTTTTTTGGTTATTTCTTCCTGTTTGGTAAGGAGTGAATGACTTGCTGCTGAACAGTGTCTCAGACGAAACAAGCTTTGAGGAAGAAGAGTGGATTCTGTCCAGTCTTAGATTGTCTTACTCTTAGTGAGGATATTAGAGATGGAAGGAGACAAAATAAGTCTCTTGCTCTTAGCCCCACACTTGCTCCATTGTCCTGTATCCTTCCTAATGTTAAGAATAAGAACAGTGCTTAACACATGTTTTATTGTCATAACCAAAAGTTTGCCTCTTTCTGCAGTTATTCCTGGACATACACGCACATCTGTGCATATTTGATGTCTGGTATCAGAATACCCTGAGCCTGGTTGTGCTGGAGTAATGCATCTGGCCTCTGCTTTTTGATCTGCCAGGTTCTGCAGTGGAGAGGCTGCAAGTGTTGTGTTGGCTGGAGCTGGAGGAGGAGGTGGCTAAGTCAGGAGTGGAAACACTGGCAAAAGTTAAAAGATCGAATGCTTTGTAAGGCTAGGGCTGTTTAAAATGGTGGGGTTTTCATCATGACTTCAGTGCAGATTGTTGCCGTGAAGCACCCCTCAGCAACAGTACGTGCTCTCTGAGGGATGGGACTTCATCATCAGTAGAAAAAGTCAGCTTTGCCTGGGTGGATCATATCAACATTACAAGAGGAAATTGTAATTTTGAAATCTGTGCCAAAAGAGCCCCGTTACAGACCCAGGCTAATGGGCTGAGCCTGCTGGTCCTACAGGTTATGTGGGGTTATGTACCTAAGGAGGTAACTAGTTGCTGTTTGGGAGGTTAAAGGGGCTCCTGAAGACAGGAAATCAGGCTCTGGTAAGAGGGGCTTCTTTAGGTATTAAGTTTGTGGATGGGATGGGGATTAGTTAATTTTGAATGTTGTATGCTGTACAGGAACTTGATAGAGAAGTGGGAAAATGGTTATCTATTACATCTTATAGAAGCTCTCCTTTATAGCTTTTTCTTGCTTTTTTATGCTAGTATCTTGAATTTTCCCCTTTGTAGAAATGGAGGATGCTGAGTTGTAGCCAGCACCTGCTCAGTTATGATGTTGTTGTTTTTAACGGCTTAAATTCATAAAGATCATCCAGTATTCCTGAAGTAACACTGTGGGTTTGTGTGGAGACTCTGTCTTGAGGAAAGGAGATTTGTAAATCAAAGAAGGAGAGGTAGACTCTGTGGCTTTGGGAAAGGAAAAAATGTTTTCATCTTGAAAGTGATTGGTTTTGTTACAATGAATGAGGAGGAACTGTAGCAGGTAAAAAGAGATTAATAAAGTCCTGAGCAATAAGTGGCAGTGAAAGGGGCCTTTCTTCCTTTTTGTAGGGGCTCTTTGTATGAGTTAACTCCCTGATTTTCAAGATGAGTAGCTTTAATTAAATCTCTCCCCCTTGCTATGTATCTCCAGAACTGTCACTTGCAGCAACAAAAATGCACAGAATTCATAATCCAAATCACCTTCCTTGAATTTCAGTAAGCATGGACAAGAAAGATGCTATGCAGATCTCTTTCAACTGTAATGTTTGCTCTTCAAAGGAGAGATTAAAAGAAGACACTCACTTTCTTGCATTTTTCCTTTTTGTCCATTTTCTTTTCTCTGATGTATGATTCTTGGTTGCTTGCTCAGGAAGCTCTTTCTGCAGAGTTGTTGTGCCTAGCTTGTTTTGCAAGCTCACTACACAGCCTGCCTAGGAACTGCCACCGCCAAGTGTTTTGATAACCTTCATTAAAGAAACTTAATTTGGCTTTTACCTCTGTTTTCAAGTAGAAGAAACCAAAGCACCAAGAGACTAAGGGATTAGCACAAGGTCATGCAACAAGCAGCCTGGCTCCTTGATGATTTGATGATGATGTTGTTTGGTATGCAGCTGATAATAATGCAGAAAAGACTAGTGTTTGAAAATAATTCCATTTAGTCTCCTTATTTATTCTCTCTTACGCACGCATATGTATTTTCTCATCTCTGTTCCACTGCATCACTTCTGTTACATCTCTTGTTGCCAGGATGGTGAGCAATCTCTTGCCTTGTAGTCGGAAATGCTGATTTTGGGAACAGGCAGGAAGAACTCAGCAAAATGCAGCTCTGTTGTAGTTGTTACTGGGAGCTCTCTGGCCTCTGCCACAGAAACTAAGATTGGGGCTTAATGGGGTTTCCTGATTCGTGTAGTACCCAGTCACATTTTTACACTTGAAATTTTGAAATCTTAAATTACTTCCTTTGTATCAAAACATGAATATCTGCCTTATAATGATGCAGGCTTTCATTTCTTAATCTCTCATATGTACTTTCTGCCATGCCTAAACATGTAAGTACTTAATATTGATTTAAATAGAATTATCGTTCTCTGTGTCAAGTATAAAGAGAATAAAGCATTTTAAAATTTTGATTAAAGGTTCTTAATGCCTATATAACTTTGAGATTCTAAACACTTTACCTCTTTCAGGTCCATAATGTTTCCTTTGCTTTTGAGCTGATGCAAGATGGAGGACTGAAGAAACCAAAAGCTCGTCCTGAAGGTATGGACGTGCCGTGTGGCTTTAAACTGTATATGAGGACGTAATGGCAGCTGCATTTCAAATGCAACTCCTTTTGAAGGCAGTAGCAGTAGTACTACAAAGTGGAGCTGTAAGTGTGCACCCCTTGATGGTTTTCCAAAGGATTCATCGTCTGTCTCTGGGGTGTGTCTTTACCTGTGTTTCTTGTCTGGCATAGGTTCACTGAGGTGTACAAGTCTAGCTTTAGTGAATGATCCAAGAGTTGTTCAGTGCTATATTCTAAATTCAGCTGGTGTTCTCAGTAACAATCCAAGAAGGAAGCTCTTCATGGTCTAAATCTCATAATTCCTACAGTTAGCTCTTGTTTGGACTCCTGTGAACAGATTTGAGTGACAGATGTCTGAAAGGCTTTCGTTTTTTTTTAGGAGGGCTGGTAGCAAACTCTGTTCTTGATTTATGTGGACTTGAGAGTCATAACTGAAAAGTGTAAAAACTGAGTTTTTCCTTTAAAGTCTGTGAATCTTTAAATTAATTAGTGATGAGTGTTGCGTGTAGTAGGGATAAAAAGAGGAATTAAAACTTCATGACTGCTAAATGAGCAATTTTTATTCCTGGTGTTACAAGCTACATATGTATTAGAGGCTTCCGCAGAACAAAGAAAAATGAAGAGCCCTGAAGAAATGTTCAGTTTGACTTGAAATTATACAAAGTGGTGATACTAAATAGATTAACAAATAGCGGAGCTGGTCATAGTGGGGGAAAAAAAGCAAAAGAAAATATTAAGTGTATATGTATCCTGTCAGTGCTGGTCTTTTAAATTTGAGGACGAAAAGTGCTCTTGAAGAATTTGGTGAAACAAAAAGCTAACTAGGGAAAGTAAAGGAGTGTTCTGAGTGTTGGAGCTGAGTCAGTGGGTATATGAGGAGGACAAGGAAACTGGAGAAATACAAATGCACAATCAGGAATGGCACTTTTTTGAGTGGAAGTGTTAAAGAGATTGCAGTAGGAGACCAGGTAAGCTAGATAAGCCTGTTTCAAGAGAGAGAAAATGTTAAAAACCTAGGAGAAGAATTCTCTAGTTGAAAGCTTGTCCTTTTTTCTGTTTTGTTTTCATCAGTTGATCTGACAGAGATTACTTTCCCGTAAGGGTATCTTACCTCCTTATGGTATCAGGAGCGGTAGAACACTGTGGCAGATCTTTTGTTTGCTTCAGACAGGGTGTATAGATTCAGTAAGCAGCAGAGTATGTGTAAGTGTTTTACTGATTGAAGATTTAATTATTGACAGAAGTTAGAGAGCCAAATAGTAGAACATTCCTTTTAGCTTTTTGCCACTGCAGGATGTACAGTCTCTTGTGTGTACTCCTTTGTCTTCTGTGTGTGTACCTATTCCTGCCGGCACTAGTTCACAGCTGTTGGAGTGAGTGTGCTTGTGTGGTGTGTGTGGTTGGAATTGCCTGTAAAACTGACTGTTGCTCTTGAATAGCTGCTCCTGTGGAGAGGACAGTAACATCTTGGGCTTTACTTGTCACCATAGTTTCATTGGATCCTCTGTAGGATCTTGACAGTCAGTACGGTAATGTAATACATGTTTCATAGAACAAGAAGTTGTTTTGTCATAGGCTCTGATGCTCTGCAAAAATTTTTGTGTATAGTATTATCTGTTAATGCCATACTGATCTGTTGTTCATTCCTAAATAGGCTGGAAAACCTGTTAGGTGAATCCATGTCTTTTAGAGTGAATTGGGTAGTAAATGCCTCTTGAATTAATTGTAGGATTTTAATGTAAAATGTTGTCTAGTGCACAACATCACAATTTTTATTTCTATATCCCGTGCTTTCTGCAGTGCTTGCAAGGAAGAGGTCTTGTTTAATACATTAGTGGGTCTTTGTACAGGTAAAATACAAAAATAGGAGCATACAGGACAGCTCCTCTTCTCTGTTCTTCCAGCCTGATTCAGTAGATTGAGCCAGCAGAAGAACTTGGTTATTGCTGTGTGTTGTAGTGGATTAATTTATTAGCCTCTAAAGACATCCTTACGGAGTGTGAAAGTTTTAAATTATTGGAATATTTTAAACTATTTTGATGATTTGTGGCCACTTTTATTTAACATTTTATTAGTTTTTGTTAGTAATGGTATAACTGTGCATGCTTCATCTTAAAATAAGAAACAGGAGGCTGAGAATATGCTTATTCCTGGGAATGCCTGTTAGACACTGATCAATAAGGAACACAGTAATCGCCCACACAGGGAGGATGCATCTCACACTACCATATTCTTTAATGCAGCAAACAAACACATAACAAGGTCTGAAAGTTAGGAAAATGTCAAAGTAGAATTACGGTGTAACTTCTGCAGCAGTGAAGGTAATTAAACCTTAGTCTGAATTGTCAAGGGATGGAGGTGGAATTTCTACCACTGGAAGATGTGGAAAGAAAAAAACCAAACCTGCAATGTCAAGCATGTATTTTAATTCAGCCACAGGTTGGTTTGTAAGCTCAGTAAAGGTTTTCTAAGGTAAAGTTCTCTAAGGACTGTGTTGTGCATGAGGTCAGACTATGTGACCATAATCGTTTCTTCAGACCCTAAATTTACGTGTCATTACACTGCCAAATAAAAGAGCTGAGTTTGTTCCTTCTTTCAGTGATGGGGCCTCCCTCTCATTCCTCAGGGTAATTACCAGGGGTGATCAACATCAGATATCTAACTCAAATTGCTGATGGAGATCAGTAGGGGTCAGCCTTAAATGCCTTCCTGAGGTCTGGCCCCCCTGCCAGCTCCTACTTGTGCTCCTTCTGGTGCCCTCAGCTCTTGCTCTGGGACTTCACTGCCTCTTGCTCCCAGCTGCTCTCTCCTTGGGACGTGCCCTCCTTTCCTAGCTTCCAGCGATGTTTCTGCTCTACCCTCCAGATTTCTATTTCTCTCCACGGGCGCCTTGATCTTGGTTTACAGCGTAGGCGGTTCCTGCCTCTGAACTGATGTCAGCCAGAGGCAAGAGCTGAACGATGCAAGACTTGATCACACCATGCCATGCACTGTCAGCTGAGATGGGAATTGCGGTGGCTCAGGGAAAAGACCCATCCTGCTTTTCAGTGGGAAGCTGACAATGGGTGGCATGGGGAAAAGAAGACCATTTTGGAGGAATGGGGCAAATACACACTACAAATCTCTGTACACTACAGAGCTGATTTGTTTGGGCCAGGTTTTTTTTTAGCATTTTCATAGTGCCAGCACTGTTTTGTTTGATTGTTTAGCAAACAAAAGTGACTGCCAGCATCAGTGGGTCAAATCTGCTGGTAGTTTTCTCTTCTCCAGATATTTGCCGTGATTTCCCAGCTTTTAGAAATTATGGCTGTTGCAAAGAGGTGTTTCCTGTGGCTAAATTTACATTTTAAATCCATCTCTGAGGGAACTGGTCTTGATACAGAGGAACCAATGCTGATTCTGGCTGTTACCTTACTGAGAATGCTATGGTAGTAAGCAACTTTTTGTAATATCTGGAGAAATCAGAAATGTGTTTCATATTTCAGTTATCCAGGTAAGACATCTCTGTTTTCAGGGTGTGTTACTTCACGGCAGTTAGAATCTTTCCTTTCTTGGGGGCAGGAGAAGATTCTTTTGCAAATGCAAAATACAAAATCATAAATGAGATATTTAAAATAATACAGGAAAAAGGGTAGGAAAAAAAGTTAGAGAGGTTACTGAAAATACCAGGTGAAGTGTGGGGGTTAGAGTGTTATCCGGTATGGGGTGGGAGGGAAGGGTGAAGAGGTCCTGGCAATGATTCTTCAAAACAGGCAGTAGATGTTTCCCCTGGACCTCACATTAGTTGTACTTAGTCTGTTAACTGTTTACTGTCTTCCTAGTGCTTTGATTTTTTTAATTATCTGTTCTTCCTCACTTCTGCTTCCATATATATTGTTTACTGTGTATTTTTTCTTCCCCCTCCTCCTTTCTTGCATGTTATATCCAACTTTTCTTTCCACCTCTTCAGCCTTCTCTGTGCTACACATTCCCCCATAGTTCCTGGTTTACATGCCTGTGGCATTTCCTGGCATTTTATTATAGTAATAAGTTGGGAGGTACTAGAAGAAAAGCTTTTTGTTGAGAACTGTTCCAGACCTGTTTGTTGGCCTAGCATGGCAAGAAGGGATATTAGATAATAGAAAGCTTTGAGTCTGCTAAGAGAAGTCAAGCTTTGTTTATTCATGGACCGTATCATCGCAGGGTTGTGGATGTATGAGGTTCAATATCTCATATGATGTTTGTGGCTACTTGTTTGCTGTTTCTGTGGCCGGTGAAGTCATTGGTAGTATTTACCAAAGCCTTTATCCTAGGTCTCAGACAGAAGTAGACTTTCTCTGTAAACAATTTTAGATGAGGAAGGGAATTATCTTTGTTCCATTTCCCAGAGAAGTTGGCTGTGACTGTATTATCATGAAGGTGTCTTGAAGTGCATCATACGGGATATTTAAAAAGCTTGACTTGGGGAGATCAGAACTCTGAGGGGTTTTCTGTTTCTGATCCCATTGGCTCAAAAGGTGTGGGGACTTTCATTCCTTTCAGGACAAACAAGGGAGAACAAAAAACAAATTAAGAATTTCTCCTTTTCTTCCACAGATGTTGTCAACTTGGATCTGAAGTCTACCCTCAGGGTTCTATACAACCTGTTCACAAAGTACAAGAACATTGAATGATCCTGGAAGCTGCTGGTGTCTTCATCCTTTCAACCTCCTTAGGCAGAAATTACAATAAACACACCCTCTGCGCGCTCCCGTTGTGCCTTATGCTATACTTCATGCATTCTCTCTACAGTTGATGTGGTCTCTCTGTAGCTGTTTGTATGACAATCCCACTGAAAATAATGCATGTGTATTCTCTAGTTCACTTGAAAATGTGTAGATATTTCACACTTTTACCAGAAGATAATATTGAATCTGTTGTTATCATCAACAAATGTTCTTTTGATAAAGGAAATATACCACTAACTAATAAGCAGGGAAAACATCAGACCTTCCTAATAACTGGAGACTCCTTGATTCTATAATAGGCTTTATTTTGCATACTCCTTGGTTGCCACTGGCATTTGATGGTTTACCAGGCTTAGATGTTAGCAATAAGAAATCAGCATTGGAATTTATTTAGAAGCTGAGCCTTTTCTGTTAAATAAGGTTTTTAATGTTCTTTTGGGTGGGTGGGACTGAGGGGAATTACAGGCACAATCTGAAGCTAATGGCAAAAGCTTCAGTTTTTGTGTTAACCTCATACTACTCAGTGTTATTTCCATTCAGTGTTTACACAGAGTAAGTCTTGCAATGGGAAGACCTATGTCTATTTTTTATTTCATCACCTTTCTAGGATGAATTTGGTTGCTAGAGCCGCTATCATCTGTTAAGCATGTAGCTTCAATCAAGTCAGTCAGGAGTTGATCAGATAGGTGCAGGATGGATTAATGCGTTTTTGCCCTCAGTCCTTTCTGAAATGTACGTGGGAAAGAATGATCTTGGCAGTTTAAAGGCTGACACTTCATTTCATGTAGCTAAGTTAAAGGGTGAGATTCATTCCTATTGGAGTTGTTGGCAGCTGTACAGTCCTGGTGGTCAGGCTTTTATAAACAGAATTTTATGTATTTTCTTTCCTAAAGAGTAAACCTTAATTCCTGTACAAATAAGAGCTTGCCTTTACTTGTGGATTGCGCTGAGCTATGCAAGACGTGGTATATACAGTGCAAGCCAATGATTCGCACTCAAATGTGAAGCTCTTCAGTGATTAGTTATGCTTTAAGCTAATTTCATCAAGTTGTCCTGTGCCATCCCAAAAAATATTCTGCTAGGCTCTGGCCTAGTGCTGTGGGTTTTTAAGCTGTTATGGATTTTAGTGGGAATCTGTTTTAAAAAAGGATTCCTATATTTATCTGGTAGAGTCTAGTTACCTCATAGTACTTAACAGGTTTCATCTGTGGAGCTCTTCCTGGCTGGTGATGTGCAGGTGTAGCGGTGTGTACAAGGAGGCTGTGCTGGAACAAGAGCTGTAGATTTTTGAGGTGAGCTGTGCAAAGGAAATGGGAATGTAATTTCCAGACTAAATTACTTGTGGAATATGCATATAATAGCACTTCTTTCCTTGGAGTGCATACGGGAGAGATTTGACTACTGCTTCTGTATATCACAGCAGAAACTTTTCTTTTATGGGCAGCCATGATTTTGTGCGAAACATTAGGCTCAGTGCCTAGGAAGTGGGTAAGTGGGTACCATTGCTCTGCTCCATGGGATCACTTGAGTTCTGTTGTAAGTAGGTATCTTTTTTCCCTAGAAGTGATTTCTTATGCGAAACTTTGTTTACTTTTCTGAGTTCAAGGGGAAACTTGCTATTTGAATTGTACAATTTTACAGTTACGATTTTCTTCTTCCCTCCTTAAACAATATTTTTAATCTCTGGGGGAGAGAAGTGGGCTTCTGCTTCTTTGTTTCATATTTGATTTATTTGGATCACCTGCTCTCATACCTCCAAAACAAAGATGGAAGGAAATTGCCCTTTCTTTCCATTAAAAATTCAGATCTCATCTACCCTATAAGGTTCTGTGGGGAATCATTGCTTTAGGAGGGAGCTGACCTCTTGCTGTTTATACAGAGCCAAGTACAATTGGACTTGAATTTCAGATGTGGCCACTAGACTCTACCATAACACTAGCAATTATTACAGAGGAGACTTGCAGAGGCACTAAGGCCTGGTGGGTCAGCTCTCCTGGCAAGTTAATGAAATTGGTCTAACTTTTGTGCTGTGAAATAGGGGTATCATGAGGTTGGAAGGTGATTGAACTGGAAGGTCTCTCAAACTTTTAGTTTAATGCAGTGTTATTTGTGGAAAACAAGTCTGTTAAAGAGGTGTCATTCCACCCACCTCCCTTCAGCTGATGTGGAAGTGCCAATGCTGTTTATATTCTCTGAGTTGCTGGGAAAGACCTCGGGAGAAGTTAGTTTTTGAAATTTCGAGCAATATTAATATCAAAAGCAAATAGAAAGTAACAAGAGGAGACTGATAAAAGCAGTTTCGGTTTGGGAGAGGGGGATGGCTGTTTCTGAGACAGGGACTTACAGATGGCATCCTCATTGCATGTGACCAGATGTGAACACACTACCAAGTTTAAAAGAGTCTCTGTTTCGTTCAGTTAGGTGTTTCTGGTCACTGCAGAAACCTGAGTCCCTCCTCTGCCACCTGAGGCATGGGTCCCTTTTAGCATTCCTTACATTAATATCCCTGTCAGTCAAGACTACAGGCTTCACGCTCTGAACAGGTTCAGGGCAGGTGTCATACCCTGTTTTTTAAGTCTGTTGGTAAATGTTGCACAGGAAAAATACGTTTTTCACTCCTTAGCTCCTTGCTGTCTTGCCAAGTCACTCTTTCTGTAGATGGCTGTATTTGTTACTAACCAGCTTGGGAGCAGGATGGATTTAACTGAACTGGAGCTTCATCTCAAGCAGTCCAGTTTACAGGAAGAGCAATGTAGGTAAAGCTTCTCTGAAAACCTGTTTTTTGTCATGGCTTTTTCTTACATATACATGATACTTACTATTTTCCTCTCAAAAAGATAATGTTAAAAAATGTTATTCGTGAACTCTTTGTGTTACTGAAATTTCAGATATGTTCCCTGGGTGCCAGTGGGGTAGATCTGAAACCTCTTGAGTTCATCTGGAATGCTGAATGCTCTGCAGCGTTAAAACTTATATGTTTGTAAGTACTTAATGGATGCCTGTCTTTTCCAGTCCATACAACTTGCCTTTTGGGTACATCTGTTTGACATACTCAGTTCCAGTGAGCCTTATTAGCACAGAAGCCCAGATACTCCTCAGCTGCATCCTGTTTCTCAAGATGAAGAATCAAGAGTGGCAGATTTTTTTTTTAAACAGTTTAAACCTTATAGGGCTTCTTACCCCTCTTCCCCACACCCTAGTGCTTTCAGTATTAATGTATTTTTTAAGACTCTTTTCTACTGTCTTTAACAATGTTTACTCTGGATTTCTAACTGCTAAAAACCAGCCTTGCAGATAAAATTCTGAACTTGTCATATGCTGGAGACCTCCAGCTTTGTGACAGGAATTGTGTACTGTAAGCAAGTTACAATGCAATGCTATGTTTGCTAAAAATCACAGCAGGAGTGTTGTGCATGGTTTGTGACAGTTGTACTATTTATTCAAATAAATAAATGATGATCACTTGGTTTTTTGTGGGTGGTGGTTTTTTTTTTTTTGTGGTTTGTTTTTTTTTTTTTTGCTAAATGGACAAGTCTGTGGGAAGAACTCTTGAAAGGTGGGCTTCAGCTGTCTTCTTCATCAAGGGTCCTAGGTCCTATGTAGTGAACTCAGGTTTCTGGCCCTGGTACAGGGGATTTGATTTTATGGGCAGACCCCTTTTTTTTTTTTTTTTTTAATATTGCTTGGCTACTGAACCTGATCAAGTTGTTTACCTTTCCCCCCTCCACAAGAAAAAACTAACTGAATTAAATTCTCTGATACTGTTAGAAGACTTAGGGCCCAGTTCTTCCCTGGTGGCATAGGAGGGAAGCCTGGTATGCCAAAGCCAATCTTGTGTGTATACAGAGCACTTGGGAAGCCAGAAGCCCAAGTAAGTCTGGAATGTCATTGGAAATGCCTGTTTGCTTCCCTTTGCTCGGGTACGGAGAGAGCATAGAGTGGCTCTCCTATAAAGCAAGGTTGTGTGGAGAAGCAGGAAAATGCGTTATCAAAACTTGTTATTGGTGGGAGTGCAGTAGGTTCCTTGAATTGTTCTTCAGTGGCTGCCTTTATGTGAGGGCCAGGTGTGTGTGTGGGTGGGGTGTGTGTGCATGCGTGAGGTTTGCTTTGGGAATGTACAGAAAGACTCAGGACAGGAGATGGGCATAAAATCAAATGCAACTCTGATACAGAATTTACCACTGCTGTTCTACACAAGACTGGATACTTCATGTACTGGTGACAACATCAATGTTTGGAGGAAAAAAGATGCTTGTACATCACATGTGTTTCAGATTTGTTCTTCTGTCACTGACGCACTGTATTGTGAATGAGGCTTTCAAGAAAGAAGTCACTCGAGTTGCCAGTTGAAGCAGAGAGACACCTAGTAATTACATATGAATTTCCCAACTTTTAATTCTTCCTGCTCCCTCCTCTGCCTGCTGACATTAAACTAGATTTGTCCAAAGTTGGCAATAATATCTCCTAATATACTTTCCTTTGTTTTTTACTTACTACATTTCTAGGCTGTGGCATGTGCTCCTATATAGGTAAAAAGGTACTCTGGGTCTTTGCTAATTTGATGTAATGTGCTTATTATCTGCTTAGAAAATACAGTTAAGTTTGCCCTTTGATTAAGGATTTTGGGTTAAGTTCACAGTTACTAAGCATTCATGGCAGCTGGAAATCTCTTTTCAACCCACTTTCCTTTGTCCCATTTAGCTCATGAAGAACCATCAGTTCCTGCCTGTGGCATGGAGCTGAAAACAGGAGTCAGTCCCTTAACAGCGTTAAACCAGGGCAATGTAGTTAGCTGGGCTGTCTACTGTCTCATGCTTGGATGAGACATTTCATGGAAGACTGCAGAGCTGCTTTTTCTTTCTGGAAGAGTTAACAAATGTAATGATACCTAAAGGAAGTGTTCAGGGAAAGTGGTTGGTGTAGGGAGCGTTCCCTCTGTAATCAATGGTGGAAAAGGGAAGGAAGAGCAGCAGCGCTGCCTGGTGCCATTAACTCATCTCAGCTGAGCATTCTGGGCCCTGGTGTGGCTAACTAGCTCTCTAAGGACAAAGACGTTAATCTCCTCCTGCCTTTCTCTTTCTACCAGGTAGGTAGAGTAGCGCTGATCTGCTCTATAAAATACTCGAAGGACCACGAATAACAGGTGTAATGTAGCATGATGACTTTGTTGTTGGCTGATTTATCATTATAAGTAAAGAAAAAGTGTACTCTGAGTCGCCCCAAAGATGCAGACTGACCAGCAGTCGTGCCATGCCGTACCATGGAAGAACGATCGTATCTTTTTAATACTTCCTGGTATTTCAGGAG